CTGGTCCACATAGTGAGTTCCAGGACAGCTGGGGCTACAGGGAGACCCTGTCTCAAAAAGACCAAAAAAAAAAAATAATTTTTATGTGTATTGAGTGTTTTGCCTGCAGATATGTAAAGCATCATGTGTGCGATGCCCATGGAAGCCAGAAGAGGGCATTGGATCCCCCTAGAACTGGAATTACAGCCAGTTGTTAGCTACTGTGTTGGTGCTGGGAGCCCAACCTGGGTCTTCTGCAAGAGCAGCCAGTGCTCTTAATCACTGAGCCATTTCTGTGGTCCCTGGATTAATTTTAATTCTTGGTCTTACAGTGTAGACTATGAAAAAGTACTCAAGAATTTGATTTTATGTAGGACATATTTTAAGGTTGTAAAACACGTTAAATAGTAGACCATTTTAAGTTAGGAAGTGAACTTATTAGGGGCTTGGGTGAGAGATACTATGTGAAGGGTTTGTTCTGTTTGCTGTGATCATCTGGGCTAAAGCAACTGCACTGAAGTTGGTAGCAGCTTCTGTGGCTTAAAACCAGGAAAAGGCTGGTATGGAAGAGCATTGACATGCTGGCAGATAGCGTGCACACTACCCTGCTGAGCAACAACGATAGATCTTGCTCATTCTAAGAACCACTGGCTTGCCATCATTTGTAAGGACTGAAGTTGGCCACCACAGAACTGTGTGAGTCTTAGGTGTCATAGATTGAGATGGTGTCTTATTAATGTTGATATCTGTTAGCCCAGTTTTTTTAAAAAAAAAATATATGCTGTGAATTTGGCGGTTTTGGTGTTTTAAGGGAATATAACTTCTCGTTTTAGGTTTTTATACATAATCCTCACATGAGGAGCCAGCATTTCAGTGCATCCAGAGTTTTCCAGAGCCCCCTGGAGTCTGATGTTTCTCTTCTCAACATTAACCAGACCGTCAGCTGCCTGACTGCGGGAGTGTTGAACCCTGAGCTTGGCTATGATACTCTTTTAGTGGGGACACAGACTAATCTTTTGGCTTATGATATCTACAATAATTCAGATTTGTTGCACAGAGAGGCAAGTATACCCTTTTTTAAACCATAAAACCTCTGTCACACAGTAATACCTACTGGTTTTTTTGTTTCTTTTTGTTTGGTCAGATAGTTTTGGTTGATTGGTGATGCTGGGGATTGAACCTAGTGCCTTGGGTCTGCGTACAGGGCAAGTGTTCCGTCACTGAGCTGTGTCCCCAGCTCTTGTCCACTGTTTACACGTTCATTTTGGTTTGTCTTTTCTGTGGTATAGTTAAGCATCATGTCTTTACATCTGTTTTGTGCCCTTGGAACCTACTTATTTGCTTATGATTGGTAATCATTTGGTGACAGTCACATGTGCCTCTAGGAGATATATTTGTGATACCATCTGTTAAGATCTGCTGAGATTCTAGCCAGGCACTAGGAAGCCAGCACACAGTTCTTGTGGCCTCACACAGAGTTGGTTGGAAGCCCTTACTGCAGCCTGCCATCTACAGGCTGCTGCAGCTTTGGCACCCCAGCAATCCATATTTATTATGGAGACAGGGAAGCAAAAAGGAAAAAAACATAAACAGTCGAATAGCATTTGAATTTATGTACCTGGTTTTTGTTGTTCTGCCTTCTTCTTTTATTTTTTTTATGTTTCTTTTTAAAAATTATTTTATTTTTTTATTTTTAATTTTTAATAACGACATGCTTAGAAGAAACATTTCATTACAGCTTTAACATATTCAGTAACAACTGCAGAAGCAAGAGTTCATCTCTTTCTCAAGTGGCTGTAAGTTTCTAGGTTCATAGTTGAATTAATACAGTTATACAATATTGAACTCAGTAAATGCCTGGTAAGAAATAAAACTGAATGAGTTTTTAGCCTTTAAAAAAGATCTCCATTTCATTTTAGAATATATTTTCCTTGAAGAAAGACTCATTGTTTTTGCTACTAAGACTGAGACGTTGGCACATGCATCTCCAATCTGTTATTTTGCTTTTTGAGACAGGGTCTCCTGTAGCCCAGCTGGCCTGTAATTCACTAAGTAGACCAGACTGGCTTTGCATCCACAGAGATCTTCCTGCCTCTACATTCTGAGGGCTGGGATTAAAGACATGTGCCACCATGGTCTGGTCTGCTGAATGTTCTACATTTCATGTTGCATTAGTGTGTACACATGTGTGCAAATACTTTTCATGAATTTATACATACTCATCTATGTTTTTATTTTTGTTGTATTTTAGAAGAAAACACAGCAGAACATCCCAAACCATCTTATTCAACTATACACCCACTTCCCAGATGGCACCCTCCCATAGCCTCCCTCCCCCGACTAGAGCCCTTATACTCTGTCATCCCTGCTACTCTCTGCTGTGTTGTTGGCACCCCCAGCCATTCCCCACTACCTGTCCGTCCTGTGAATCTAGTCAGCCTATCTAGAGGTCTTTGTTTTAGGACGGTCAGCCGTTCCTCATCTAGCAGCAATTGGTTTTCAGTATTCCTTTAGATAGATTGGGGTCTGCTGTTCATTTTCCCAGTTCTATGCTGGGTTACTATCTGGGAGTCCCTTTGGCTACCTTGGCCAACAACTCAAAAGAAGGTATCGCCCATCTGGCATTGTTGCTTGTTATGTAGCCTTTAGCTATGCATATGGACTCTTTAAAAAGTCCCTTTAATCTTTGGTTTTACTTTCCTTTTGGGTGTTTAAGGCCATACAGTTGGCCCTGATAAACCAATTTATTTTCACTCTTAAAGTCGTTTGAGGATCTGTTCCTCAGGGGTCACATGGGCTTTGGAGGAGACCCTGGCTCCTTTCTTTTACAAGTTCCACCTATGTGAAGATAAGTCAAAGGTCCTGCTCAACCACGGTTGGCTTCACTTGGAAGCATGGAGGAACTGATTCCTCTGTGTTGACCCTCCTCTTTGTAGACTGGACAGTGGTTCA